CAGGGCTGCACTCTTCTCTTTGTTAGTATCAGCTGTAGAGTTATCAGGGCACCATAAAGTTGGGATCCTTGAGAGACCCCCATTTCCCGCTGCTGCTGTTAGATATTTGTTAGCCGTCCAAATCTTGTTACCCATGGTCTCCTCGAGCCAATTGACCCAGTGGTCCTTCTTGACCTGTTTGATTGCTTCTGTGTATTGATTTCTCTTGACTCGGTGTTCCTCATGATTGTAGTGATCAGCATCGAATCTCGATTTGTAAGATAAATGACTTAGTTTCATGACTTCGTGGCATAGGATGGTCAGGTATTTGGTCCACCAATGCTTGGAATGAGGGTTTGGTTTTGACTTTGGGATGCATTGCACTATCATGGTCTGGATGGAGGTCGTCAAGCGTAAGCTGCCTGTTGAACCTCATCGTCAGTGATGAGTGGCTGGACGGGGGGAAGCTTATCCAGTTCAATCATTAGGTGTTTGTTGAATTCGTCCCAATCCGTCTCCCAAAAGTTGTGCTTTTCTTCGATGGTGGCATGAGGGACTTCCAAGTCCAGGATACTAAGAATGGGGATGTGGTCAGTAGCAGGCCCTCGCAGTGTTGGGTTAGTATAGCAGCTGATAAAAGATTTGCTGGTATGGTCAGTGCAAAAAATGTTATTGGGGCACGTCCAGTTCTTCGAGCTGGTTGATTGCAAAATTGGTAGGCCCTTTGGTAGTGTCATCACCATACCGTAGTCCACTAATAAATCCAGGAGAGGTTGAGCTGCATTGAGGTATCTATTAGTAAACAGTTGAGTGTTGTGGTCCTCATCCCATAAGGGATGGTGTCGCCCAACCAGATCATATGATCATCAGCGGATGGGCACAGGTTCGCTATTTTGTGTTCTAGAAAGGCGGCTAGGGTATCCTGAGTTAGTGTTAGTAGACAATCATTGTAGATATTAAATAGGGTGCATCATCCAAAGGGGCCTCTAAATTGGATCACTATGACGTCTGGGGATGGGAATGCGATTTGCTGTCAGGAATTAGTGTTGAAGGCTTTGGATGTGAGAGTTACAGTGCGTGAGGTAAGGTTGGGTGCAGAGAAGCATGTTGTCGGGTATACAGCGTGAAAGTGTGGTGATGAGATGGTGTTTTTTAGTGTGTTGATGTGCGGTTCTTGAAGGGCTACTATATCCCAGTCACAGGCAATGGGGCTATTGAGAAGAGAGTGTTGTGCTAATAGTGAAGTATTAAGATTCTGTTGCCAGACACATAATCGGGTTGGTGTTGTATTCTGTCATTCAGACATTAGGAGGGGAGGGGGACCTAGGAGCTACCAAGCTTGATGGAGTGACGAACGGAGTGATCTCTGTGAGTGAGGAAGTAGGGGTTGAGGGAGGCAAAGTGGTTTTGGGTGCCTGGGAGTCTGTGCTGGGGTCCCATGGGCCGAAGGTAGTGATAGGGATCGACTTCGATCCAGACAAGGTGGTTGCCCGGAAGCCTCTGTGGCCAGAACAATACAGTGCTCCTCGGGCGTGATAGCCTCTGGTTGGGCACTGAGGTTTGAAGGGGATATTCGTTTGTCGAAGGTTGGGATGGGGATGTTCTGTTGGTAGAGGTACTGCTGGTTTGCGGTATGGAGCAGGTTGTGGTGGAAGCATCACCTGGGTCCACGAATCATCAGTAGGGAAGAATGGCATAGAGTTTTTGGGGTGCTTAGCGTCAATGCCTGCACATTTGGATTCAAATTCAGGGCATTTCCTATCCCAACTGGCATGTTTGTGAGAATTGCAGCTAACACAGTAGAAGGTGTGGTAGGCATTGCATTCGTTCGTGTGGTGATTCTTTCCACAAGTGCCACAGACATTGTGTGGGGCTTGACAGTCCCATGCTATATGTCCCCAGAGTTGACAGTGTACGCAATGCACTGGCTCCCTTGTGTCTTTTCGGGGGTGCAACTTCTCCTAGCCAATGTATATGCTGTCCCAAAGAGTGTTGTTGGCTGAATGGGGGTCTGCAAAATGAAAGATTGCATGTGCAACTCACTGCTGTGGCGTCCTGCATTGGCGTGGCTTGATCCAATTGGCCGGTTCGATGGTGCTTACGGACATGCTGTTCTCTTCCTCGACGGTACATAACCAGTTCGGTTCTTCGATGCTAGAAGTGACAGGTAAGAATGGGATGATAATGGAGAAGCGTCTTTCTTTGATGGTCACAGGAATTCCCAAAGCCGCGATAATCTTGACTTGGTTTTCTGGTGTCCTAATCCAAGCAGTGGTATGTAGATGTGAGTTCCACTATGAGGCCTCCATTCCAGAGACGTGTGACTGCATTGATTTGAATGGCTGGCGTTGCTTCCGAATTAGTTGCCATAAATGCTTGTTTCATTCTGGTCACTATATCTACTGATGTTATGTCAGGTGCAAATAGGGCTTTGCCTGGAACTGGGTCGAATAAAATTTGCCGATCCCTTGTGGAGGCATGAGTAAGGGCTACCAAGACAGGAGCCGGGGTCTGTGCATTGTGTTGAACCGCCGCTGTCATGCATGGTATGGATACCATACCATGACATACGTAGACAAGAAGTAATCACAGGAAGAGTATACTAAGGTATACTTCATTGTATTACAGGCTTGGTTTCATTTATGACAGATTTACTTGTACTTATATTTTCAGTTTGTTAGTTTCCTTCAGTTTCCTTCTCTTTCTTTTTCTAAGGCTTATTCAGCCATCAATTTACTCAGTGAGCCACAAATATGTTACTTAGTGTGTCATGTGACTGGCAATATGCTGATTTGTAAGGATCCTTCATGATTTGTCATGCAGTTTCCATTTGTTTCTGTCTGTTTCCATTTCTTTCAGACACAGATCCTTCAGTGAGCCATCAGACATGTTTGTAAGCATGTCATGTGACTGGCAAAAAGGCTGATTTGTAAGGATTTGTCATGATTTGTCAGGCTTTGTCATGCTTTGTCATGCGTCGTCATGATTTATCATGCTTTGTAATAGTTATTTCTATTTAGGTATATTAGATTGATAAGCAGCTGATTCAGCACTGCCAAATGGCATGGTTAGTAAGCCAGTGACTTACTAATGCTGTGATGAGTCATGCTTAGTAAGGGGGGCCCCAAAAAGGTATAAAAGGAGCCCATCTTGCACCTAGTAATCAGACTTCCCACTTTCCACTCTTCTCTCAAACCGTGTGAGACCCAGTAAGATTCTGAAAGTGCAGGCCAAATAGGTTGCCTTGAAGTAAGATATAAGACATTTCTACTACTAGTTATATACTACCTAAACTAGAGGTTGACTATATAACACTGAGAAACTTCGTATCACTGAAACCACGAGAAAGACAAGAAGAGGACATGTCAGTAAATCCTCCCAAGAACTCACACATTATCTACCACAAAAACTAGAAAAGTCGTAGACCGTGTACTTAAGGACTGGCAAGTAGTCTTATCCCTGTATAGTTGTGTTGTCACTATATACACATTCCATATAAGACCCTTAAGTAGCAAGACACCGCGCTATGACCTTGGCGATGTTGGTTGAACTGCGCTGGGAGGAGGGGTGGTTAGAGATTCTAATGCACTTTTGATGTCAGTAATACTACTCAAGACGGCATCAGCCGCAAGCTCAGTGTGAGTGGCAGCTGCAGATGCAGAAGTGTTGCCTTCCTTTGAATTTTCCTCTATGATTGACTTGAATTTTGTGATTGCATCAACATTTGATTTGAGGGTCTCTGATGCTGTCAAAATGGTTGCGACTTGAGGTGAGATGGCCACTATAACGTGTGACGATAAAGTGTTTGATAGGTCTGCGACCAGTTGGGCTGAATTTTAGGCTGTTCTCTAGGAGCAGGGCTACTGCTCTAAGTCCTTCTATGGCAGTGTGGGGAATACCTATATACTGGGTGATATGGAGAATTGTGAGTATTAAGCTTTTGTTTAACATGGGCTCGCCTATTTGGCGGAATGGGGACTTTTCCAAGAAGGTGGTGCTACTTTCTATGTCTTTGACCTCATAGTCCTGTTGCAGTATTTCATCTTTCAGTACTAGCAGGGAGACTGTGGTTCGGTGAGACAATCTGACTTTGTTAGTTGGGGGTAGTGGCCCAGACATCTGAGATGCCAGTTCCCGTGGGTGTTGGACGCATCTTTGCGGTAGCCATTGTCACCAAGGTCGACAGTAGTGGTTGTTAGGACTTGTCCAAGGGGTTTTTGTGAGGTAGCAAGGCCTGTATGGCATCTGTGACGCCAGGTAGTGCTGGTGGGCGCGGTACTGGATTCCGAAGTTTTTCAGGGTCCTAGTCAGGGTGCCACTTGGTAATGGACCAAGAAGCGATTAAGCTCTCATTTGACCCCAGGGCAATGTATATGATACAACCTATACAAAAAGGCCATCACGCCTAATTACAGTAAGTACATACATGCAGCATATCATTTCCAAATGATTTACATAGACTAGGACATGAATCTCAAGGTGGGGAGAGGTGAGTGTATAATTTATTCAATCACATTGCGTGTAATAAGGGCCCATGTACTGTAGTGTGGACACGTCATTTGTGAACTGGACATCTAACTTGTAACCATCATCTGACTGAACAACTGTCTCAGTAATGCGTAGTTTGGTTTTCGTCAAATTTCAAACCACGACAGTGATCAAAATAGGTTGTGAACTCTTCAGGCGAGTGGGTAAGCAGGTCACAGAATGGCAAACCAGCTTTCATCTCCCCTATTCGAAGGAGTTTAGCCTTGATGCTTGGTGCATAGATGCACTGCCAAGGTAGGTGTCCATGCAAGAGATATAACAGCACGTTGCCCACTCCTTCAAGATCATCTCATCGTCCCTGTTCTGCTCCTGGCTCATTAGCCCTGGGCAGAAATTAAATTGGTATCTACAAACCTCGTCCAAAATGCACGTTATAGTTGGCATATCATGGAGTGCCAAGTCCAACGCGGCCTTCATGGAACGGTATGTGTATTCCCATGGATGGGTTGACATAAAGCTTCGCCAAACCAAAGTCAGAGCAGATAGACCATATCAGACTTCTCCCCAAGTCCCATCGCGAAGTTTTTGGGCTTGGTGTCCCGCTGGACAAGCCCTCGTGAATGCATGAATTCAATTCTATCCAACTGGTAAAGTGCACGAATCAGTACAGACTCACTCCCCAAGCAATCATCACACCTACCATTTTGACAGCAAGCATAACTACTGTCTTCAAAGAGAGTTCACCCCTGCATACTCTCCGGAGTTGTTCAAGATTCACACCTACTTGGTCAAGAACCAAGAACTGTGCTCCTCCTTTCATATCACTCCATTTGCATGATAGTATGCCTGGGTGTCCGCGCAGCAGACCATACACCAGAACTTCATAAGGCAGTACAACGGGTGTGGTCGGTGCATCAGCTGGGATATCCATTTTCACTGCAACCTCCGAGCCGGTGAGGACATGAACAGCACTCGACACATTTCCTGTCACAACAAAGCACATCAGCCAGTTTGATAAAGTAAACAGGATGCATGTGAACTCACCAAAGCTTCCCACTCCAAGCAAGTCTGTTACCTGATACATACTGCAAACACGGAATTCCTTGATGCTACTTGGAGTGTGCTCCACTGGTGAAGGATGAAGAGCAGACAATGTTTGTAGTCGCATTTGTAAAGCTTGTAGTCCATCAACTGCTAGGGTTTGGTCACTAGCTTCACTTCTGATTCTAGACATCCAGGACGTTGAACCAAAACAGTTGGGAAACTGCCGACACTTGCTGGTTCCATCACTTGATAATGGCTGGACATCACTACAAGAACCTGGGTCCTTTCGATGGTACTGCATGCCAAGCGACAGCACTCCAAGAGGTCCGAAAATATAGAGGGGTTTTGAGAAAAAAGATCTGAAAGGGGCGTAGGGTGATTGTCCACAGTAAGACCGAACGGAAGTTGACGAAGTGAAAATGACTGAGCATCTGGGATTGGAAGGCCAACCACTGTATAACCCTGAGCCAGGAGCGTCCTCACAGCAGCCTCTGCATCGGGATACAAACCAGGTTGCAGGATAGTCTGGATAGCTTCGCGGAGTAAAACTTCACTTAGCGGCACTCCTAGAAATGTGCAGACACCCTCCAACGCATGCCACATGATGTTGATGTAGAGTGCATTAGGGTTGTCTCCATGTCCCATAAGTTCGCATTCGAGATACACTTCAGATATGCGGCATCTGTCAGGATGCATTGGTGATAACAAATGCATAGCTTCATTCACAGCACCGTCACGGTCCTGGTTGCAGGTAAGTAACTCAAGTGTTGTGATGGATGAATATGAAACTTACAAGGATGGTACCAAAGAGATCAAAGGCAACAACGCTAGCAGACGGGGCGGAGATAGGAGGCACGTAGTCCAGAATGAAGTTGAGGTAGTCACAAGGCTCATCAAGGCTCCCAATCGAATGATTCTTCCGTTTGCAAAGTACTGTCAACAATAGGGGGATCTCCATCAAAGGGGATCCTCATTGACCAGAGGGTTAGAGCATGTGCCTCGAGACTTTCATTGAATGTCAGTAGATTTCCAACAAATGAAGAACCTGGCACAAGATGACCATTTCGTCAAACCCCATGCGCATGAAAAGACTATGAAATCCAACTTTCCATCAGAAGTCATGGCCATTACAATATACTTTGTGACTTACAACTCTTGACTTCATAGCCCACTTCACGGCAGCGGTGACCCCTATCCACGAGTAGTCAGTAGTAAGCCTGAAATGTGTGGGTCAGTAATGAAGCCAACAAGCAGGGGAAACCTACTGGTTATACAGCAGCAAATCTTGATATATGGATGTTGGTTCAACTGTGGCAGCAGACAGATTGAAACTTCGTGGTTTCAAATATTCAAAGATGTAACCAGTTCGTCTATGCAGATACTCCCCCTGTGGAGATGGTAACCTTTGTTTGCAGATGAATGTGAACTGGTAGTACCTGTGTACTTCGCAAACATGAACATTTTCATACCTCAAGATGGTGCTGCTGTTCGGCATCAGCCAATCACCCTCACTCATGGCCCCTACACTATGAATCCGTCATTTGTCAATTTTGAATTCAAGCCATCTTACATATGGGTTGGAGATCAAGGAGAACTCGTATCACCAAATGTGGTACAGTCTTTAATTCTGCTGAATAATTACCTGAGAATGGGTGCTCAGCAATGCATGGTGCTGGAACAGTGGTGGTATTATTGTGTGTTGATTCACTCTTTTGGTTGATATGGTGGCTAGCTGAAGTATGATTGTTTTTAGGGTCTGTTACGCCTGGCTAGCCAGTAGGTTTGATCGTACCTTGAAATATTTTCCCAATGTGCCCACTCGGCCTATCCTGATGCCTGGATCGTATCAGTTTGATTCACTTGGATTCTCACTGGTTACTGGTACTCTGCCATGTATTGCAATTGCAGTGCTTTCCCAGGCTTATCGTAAAGCCTACACTGTATCAATTTTGATTCGTTCGGATTCTAGCAGGTTACCAGTACTCCGCCATGTATTGCACTCATAGGACTCTGATCGACAAAACATATACCGAGGACCATTGATTCCAATGTTACAGTCAGCATCTGATATGATATCAACCATGCAGGTGCAGTCAACTGACCATAGTGTTTTGTACTTTTCTAGAGAGTTGGGCAGCTACAGGATATACAAAAAATTGATACTTGGATGGATCAAGTTCAACTGACCGGATAGCAAGCATCACCTGGAGTGGTGATAATTGAGTTTAAAAATTTTAAATGATTGTTCGTCGTTGTGACCACAATAGCCCAACAATGTACTATGCACCGAGGGACACTGATTGACGCATGAAAGACCATCTCCAAGAATGACATGGAATGCAGAGGGCATGCATATAGGCCATCTTAGACTAACAGATAAAGAGCACTGCGAACAATGGTCATTAACATGAAGGAGTGGATGGGGGTGGTCATGCTAAGACCCTCATAGTGCTGGTTGGATCCAGTTAACTCATAATGGTGAGCAGAAGACGAGGCTACAAACGATTCAAGTGGAAAAAACAGGAGAGAAAACATACTGAGAATGAGATAACTGGCGCGCACAAGTATCAGGGTCATTTCTACAAACAACCGGATGGGAGAGAATCACATATTAACAACTTGTGAATATGTACCAGACAACAAGAATACAAAGTAGTACTACACATTGCACTGGTGATTGAAGTAGCACTGGAGTGAGTAGGCCAAGTTGATTGGAAAGGTATCGTGGCTAGGATATCTCTCCGAGCACAGAGGCACAGCTTTACGGCCAATGCTCTCGTATATATCATCGATGCTGCCGCATTGTTGAAAGCGAACTTTGAATGCCTGTGAGAGATCGGCGAAGGCTGTGGGACGATGTTGATGGGCCAGAGGACAGAGTTTGACCATGACTCAGCGAAGTTGGATGCCTTCATCGGATGTGTCAACTGGAAATTTGTGGCATTGTGGGACCACATAATTGACCAGATGGTCTATGTTGATGCTACGAAGCCAGGTGCCCTCTGGACAGAGGGGCAGTAGCTTGCAGCACAGCTGCGCAGATTCCTGAATGTAGGTGGCGGTAGGCTCCTTGCTCAGACTTGCTGTAGCGCCAGATAAATGCTGAAAGGAGACGATAAAGTGATAATGTGTGATCGGGGTGGCCATGCAGACAAAATGCAAGAGCTTTGCGGAAGAGAGAAGTAGTGGAACCAATGTCTTGAAGTGGACCCATGTGAGGTTGGTGATACCTGCTACATGATCTGGACCAGACACTAGTCCAGAAGCAACTGAAAATGCTGCACAGCATTGTCCAGGTGAGAGACCATCTTGCTCATCACATATACAGCAAATTGTGCGTGGCCCAGTATCCGTGTCTCGAGCAACTTTGCTATCTATGAGGGATCAAAGTTGGTGTTCTGTCAGCACAAGCTAACAGGAAAGAGTCTGGCATACTCACAACAAACAGTGCACCATCATGATCGTCGCAAGCATGTACAATGGCGGCCTTCAGCATGAGGTAAGGGTGGACACCACGAACGGGTGGAAAGGACAAACCTGCAATATGTCAGTGTATGTGCATAGATGAGGAGCAAATCACTCACCAAAAGACTCATCTCCTTGATTGAGTAACTCATCCTGCAATATTTGAAGTTTCCCAATAACTTGTTCACTGACTAGCATTCAGTCAACCTGATAGGACACCCTGATCTCCACTGATAATGCAGGCATGTGATGATCTAGAAACCAAATGTCAGTTCTCAAATCACATCCTCAAATCAACATGAACTTTACAAAGTCACGGTATGGCCCTACATTACAGATACAGCGGATGATAGGACTTTGATGGGCAATTTCTAGTGTCCCTTTGAGTCAATATCGATGGGTATGTGCTCAGAAGAGACCCGAAGATTCATTCTGCCGATGACTGTAAATGGAGTGTGAGGATTACGAAATGGAAGTGATATAGAGTGACCCACCTTCAAGTTGGATTGATCAGCCTTCTAAACTGCATGACATGATAATGCAATGAAGCAAAATGACGAGGATCAAGAATGGGTAGAGTGATGGGTAGAATGAGTTGTAGGGAGATTGCAGAGGTAGATATGGGGAGTTGGAGGACATCCGGGAAATGGAATTTTCCGAGTCTGTCTGGCTGGGTCCTGTCCGAGTGTGGATCCGTCTGGTTCAGGACATCATAACCTTGATGCGCCGTTGGTTATCTTCATCTCTTGCTTTCAACCAACCACTACCACCACCACACCTTTGTATGCCTGCACGGTATGTGTTCTCTCAATCTCTATGCTACCTGTAAGTTTCTAACATGGCCTGTATCTCACAAATACTAACTACTATATTCCACAGCATGTCATTCTTTTCTCAATGTTTATGTGGTCCTCAAGCTACTTGATAACGTCAGTAAGTCTATTTCTATGTGCCCGCCAGATGAATATTGTTGATATCCTCAAGATGCATGAGGCATTTGACTGAAGAATGACAAAGCATTAGCTAGCTTTGTCTAATATGCAATGCAACAAATAAACATCATAATTACAGATCACATGGTAAAGGAATGGATAGGTAGACTACGCTGGTGGGAACTATAAAAGCTATGATATTGATGGACCTATGGTAGTAAGGTATGATCTACTGACACATTGTTGAATTTCTACCAAGTGTGTCTGGCTTTAGATAGGTAGCTTATGATGGTAGTATCTACAATTATCGACAGTTTGCCAACACACGACACTGAGTTATCGTGACCTAGCAAGCTGTTGAGTTTCCATCACTGCATGCTTGCAATATGCATATCAAAATGATGTGTCCCTGACATAGTCTTATAATCCTTTACAAACCTGTTGTGTCCTTGTAAGATGCATATCAAAATGACATGTCTCTAGCCAGACTCCTACCCAGCCACCCGTGGGGAGAAGTCCTCTCATCCTAGAGCCACAATACAAATAAAACCATACATTAGTCATCATACTATAGCCGAAATTTTGGAGGACAACTCCCCACGAGCGACTGGCAAAACTTGTTGTGGCACGAAAGTTGAACACTGTTTGTCTCACCTAAAATATTCAGATCTAAGTATGAGTCAGCAATGAGCTCCTGCCTCCCGCCCTGCCGCTCCCATATATGGTATCTTAATCTATCTCGACAATCTATTATGTGATCAATGTCTGCTCTACAATATACAATCCCAGATGCTTCACTGATTGAAGATACTGTTAATGCTACTTTTGACATCATGCCGTGCAAGTTCCAGCTGCAATGTGCACATGCACAATTAGATCGGAAAAATGTCATTACCATTGCTCCAACAGGCGCGGGCAAAACTCTAACGTTCTGGATCCCCCTCCTGTTCAATAATAACGGGATTGTAATCCTCATTACCGCACTCAATGGGCTTGGCGACCAAAATATCAAGGAGTTGCAGCAGCTATGTATCTCAGCAGTCAATGTAACTGGTGCAAATGCCACAGATGACACAATTCAAGGTATGTTAAGTCTTGTTCACTATTATTGCAATCATTCTGAGCTATGGAGCAGGAATCAAGAGCCGTAAATATCAAGTAATTATTGCGAGCCCCGAGATTATTCTCAGTGACCGGCGTTTCGATGATCTATGGAGAACGAGGGACTTCACAGTGCACCTGTTCAATGTCACCGTCGACGAGGGGCACTGTATCAGTCAATGGGGAAAGGACTTTCGCCCCGAATATAGTCAGCTCGGAAGACTTTGCTGGCTCCTTCCATCGCACGTACCATTTCATATCGTTTCGGCAACCCTACCAGCACACATCCTGAAAGACGTCATGGTATCCCTGAATATGCGGTGTAGAGACTCGCGTTTCTGCAGGCACATATGGGCACATTTCGCACCTTTTCACAACTCATGACAATTGGCCTTCAATGCACGACTCACACCATCAGCTACATTCGACTTCTATCAGGTCCCTAGTCGTTTTACACATAACGCGCAGCTTTCCCGCGAAACGCGCCATAGGCGCGGTACTTTCCCGCACAACGCGCAGCATTCCCACACGCGCACCTTGCGCGCTTTCTCGCGCTTAAGCGCCCTGCAAGCGCCCTGCATCGCCTATCATCCAGGAACGTCCCTCTATGTCCACCCACCTCATTGGTACGTCATATGCCTTGCCTCGTGGTTTGTAACAAGCATTGCAGCGCTATTACATGTCATTACATATTCATAGCGCTTACTGCTCCTATCCCTTCCGCTTCCGATGCGATTTCCATAGTATAAAGTTTGCTGACTTACTACTCCATCATTATTACTCCCCTTTGCTGTACTTCCCTCGCTATTGGGTTTTACCTTAGAGTAGTAGTCACCACTTGGGCGCACTTTGTGTTTCCAATGGTTATCGTTATCCGCCTATACTAGACCTTTATCCGCGCTCGTTATAACACTCGCTCTGCGTTTGCACTCGCTTTGCACATCCACTTCCTTATCCGTTTCCTTATCCGGTATTCTCCGCACAACGTGCGCCTTAGCGCTCATGTTCCCACGCTCGCGCTTACCTTAGTGCGCTCTCTCGCGTCTCACGCTCACTTCACTTTTCTTCTTGCGCTTTCGCGCATCCATCGCACTTCAAGGGTCTTTCTTTCATCTGGTTCTGTGTTCAGTAGCAGTCCCCTTTAGGGTCGAACGTTCTTGCATTCTGCGAGTATAGCAGCTAGGCAGAGCCAAGACTCACTTATACTGGTTGAGCATTTTTAGATATTTCATATCAGCCCAGCCAGGTTGAGATCGCCTCAGCGGGACGAGAACACCTGCATGATCCAACTTTCGAATGACCGATGGAACATACAGGTTGCTGTTGTTGAGATGCTCCATTCAGCAAATAGCTTCCACGACATCAAACCGTATCCTTCACTTACCGCAAGGAATACATCCCCCGAAGTTCATGATATTCTGTACTCGAGACAAGACACACAGAGAATGACTGAGTACCTCCACAGTCAGCTGCAACCAGAACTCCAACATAAAATCGTTTGGTTTCACTCCGGAATGATGCAGGAATTCAGAACTGACATGATGGCGAAAGTTTGCGCAGCAGTGAATTATGGGTATGTGTTGTACAGATGCTGCAGGAATGGTCAGTTTGTTCTGTCTCACTGGTCTTAGCTCAACCATACATGCTAACAGGGTCTGGACATTCGGGACGTCGAGTTAGTTGTCCAATGGGGATATACACAGTCTCTGTACCTTGATGCAAAGGTTGGGCCGTGCTGCTCGAGATCCCTCCATTGAGGCAAGCAGTATTTATTTTGTTGAAAAAGATTATAAGAGGAAGGGGAAAGGGAAAAGGGCGAATGGGAAACGGAAATCAAGAGCCCAACAAGATTCCCCAAATAAGGCAGCACGTCTGGAAGGAGTTGTGAAGAGAAGTGATCACGATGATGAGAGCAGTGATAGCAGCAGTGAATCAGACGGTGAAATCAATGATACTCTTGCAGCATCTTGTAGGAATACTGGGGTCGGCACATCCACGAGTTCTGGAAAAATCCTGCCATTGTCTACTGGACTGGACATAGATGAATTTGAGGGTAGCAGCCATGGAAGTTTTCATTGAGGCTGGAAACCGAACAATTTGTAGACGCAGAATTGCAGACGAGTATTTTGGGAATAATCTGATCGGTGAGTCATTCTATTCTGATGTGGTAGTCATTGTCTTGACACCTATAATATAAGAGAACGATAATGACTCAGATGTCTGCTGTAAAAGATGCGAGAAGCGCACAATGAGGCCACACTTCTGCTGTGACGTTTGCACTCCCCACGCGTTCCTACTTTTCTACACCTCACCTCCAGCAAAGCCCAAGCAAAAAACGGAAAATGAAGCTTCCTGCTTATAACATGGATACAAGAGACTATGCACTACAGACTGACCTCAAGACCTGGCGCCAGAAGATACTTGTTGATTTGGGATCAATGATCCATTTTTCGGTCCTGCTCTTATTTCTTCCGGATCCAATCTTAACGCACATCATTGATCTCTCCCATCACTCAAAGCTATCTGATGTTGCTTCCCTCCGAGACTTAACAGACTGGTGCTATGCTGATGAGTATGGTAGAAAATATCTTGTATTTGGTTCACAAGCATTATCCCCCGCCAACAGCTGTGCAACCACCTCAACCTAACATGTTCGTTAATATGTCCAATTGGTGTCACTCCTCAACAGCATCAAATCGCTTAATCCATCGGCCCACTCTGCAAATATTCCTAAGAAACCACGCAAAGTAACTGTGTGTTCTAAGTGCAAGCAATCCGGCCATAATGGTATGTCCATTGTTCTGTCTGCAACCTGCCGAATTAAAGTTGAGTCTTTCTTAACAGCGAGGAACCGTCTTTGCCCAATGCATGCAGGTCCTTCTAACACCAACCTCAATCAAGAAAACATTCTCCCTAGCGGCGCTACTAGTGTCAATAATCAATGACGTCCTCTACCCCCACTACATCCACTTCTCCATCGCAGTCCATTAGCGCTTCCTTGTCTTGTACCAACATAGTCATCCCTGTACCAATCTCATCCTCCACTTGACGGTCAGCATGTCTTCCGGCTGTAAATATATGTGGTGAGTGCCTTCGTAGTTCATCACACAGTTTCTGCAAAGTTTTTGTCATGTTTGGTGGTGCATGTTTTATGGTGCGCTGTTTGAGATGGAATCCGTTCTCGATCATGACATGGCATTCCTGGTAGAGTTCAATCAGAGGGATAGAGTTCAATCAGAGGGGATTCGTTGATGATGTGTTGGATCGTATGATTTGATCCTTTCCCTGCAAAAATGACCTGTTTTCTTGTTGTATCGCCCTTTGGTTTACTGATAGAAACATCGTACCTTTGTATACAGATTATTCCGTTCTACCAGCCAATCCATGGGTCGAAATTTGAAGGCCCTTCCAGCTGGGTTGCAAAGCCAATTCAGTCGGATTAGTTGTCTGTAGGTATTGTATTTTCTGGTCAATGTGTAACACATTGACAGAAACACGCACTGTAGGTCCTCGGGATAAACGTACCGCATCTGTACCATAAAGTGAGCTGTATGATATGCATATTTGTGCTTTTTTGTTGCTTTGAATATGTAGATCCACGACAAGAAAGAGGCCTCGACTCGTCTGATATCACCACTGTTCATCGCATGACAGAGATCAACATAGAGTAGTTCATCACGGTTGCACAACACCTGGTTTTCAAATTGCTGATCACGCTCTTGTCTAGGTCGTTGACGCAGGTTCATAAGTGTTGTTGTATTGGCAACAAACTTGTTGACTATGGACTCTGACATCTCGACAATCAACTCCCATGATGGCGCACATTTTGCGAACACTTCGAGTGAGTCCCATGTGCTGTTTCTTGTTTGAGCCTCCACTAGCCAACAATCTAATATCGACGCCCAGAGATCGTGATGCAGAACGTCATGCATCCGTCGAAACCCTGGCTTCGACGCGAACTTTCCAGTCTCACGGGGCCTCAAGACACCAACATGCTGCCAAAGGCTATTGACGTCCATTCGACCAGCTTGTGGTTGGATCCATGTATGCCATAGTGCATCGGCACACACCATTTTGAAGTGAAAGAGACCAGGAACAAACACAATGTGCTGAAAGCGGCATTTAGGTGTGTCCTCGATACGTCGTGATTTTATGATCATGTCTAATCGTTCCTTGGTTAAAAGGTCTCCATGGACGAGGAGGACGTGCTCGGACATATCAACGTCATACTGCAGATCAAATCCAACCTCTTCACGCTCCCAAATTCCGGCTTGTCTCAAAAGGGCGTCCATAACCTCAATATTTCCATCAGTTGTTGACTGTTTGATGGGCATTGCTCGGCAAGGAACTTGTCTTGTCTTGTGCAGCGGGATGGCATTGATAATGACCGGATCGTCATGGTGATGTTTTAGGAAGTCGAAATACTTGCCATGGTTGAGCAGGATGTCATGAACATGCCAGGCAAAGTTCTCCTTGCGTGGAGATAGACGTTTCCCTGGTGGGATTGTCCCGTAAGAGTTTTCTTGATGAAAAATGCGCAGATCCTTTGCGGTGAGTTTCCCGGCAGCCAGGGATGCTCTAACTAGGCCACTTGATTCATTCTGCCATATCTCATGCGAGCACCGAAGGACCGCAGGGTTATTAATACCATACAAAGGTATTGCGGTTGCAAAAGTTCGAACTAATGAATTGGGACTGGTGCTCGATTGTGGGCTGTGCAGTCTTGAAATTGATGTCAAAATTGTCGTAGGCAAGTGCTGTTGTTAATGTCCGTATGGCTTGTTTGATTTGAGCATTCGCTTCTTCTGACAAGGATCTTACAGCTGCTGCCAATGGATTGTGTGCTGATGGAGATACCGGTGTGTGCGAGCGCCTCTATCACTCTTTGCGGGGTGCCAGTTGAGTGCAAAAATAGACCGAAGATGCACTGGAGTGTGTTGCAGCGCTCATTTGAGCTCTGTGCAAAGATGCATGCACATATCACGGTTTTCTTCAGTCAGTCAGGTGAGTACTATGTCTTATTGTCTGAGAAGTGTCACGAACTACGATCATTAACACTGTATTCCATTCTTCAGCTCGTCGTTGCCATTTCTGTACTTTGGATCATTTTCATCGTCATGCTTCTTCTTATTCGAATTGTTGATCATGGTGGAATCATCCCCTCCAAACTCACCTAAGTCCATCTCTTCATCCTCGTGCCCGTCCTCCTCATATGCTCGCAGCATATCTTCTATGTCTGCCGCTGAAAAATTCCGTCTTCGCCCTGGGTTCACATCCAGAAGTGTGAGTAACATTTTAAACATATTTGGTGTGATCTTTTTGATTTTCAGCGCGAGTTTGCGGATGAATGAGTCTTCAAGTTGCGTAGATGTCGTTTTTGTTGCTTTGAAATGCAATCCGTTGCACTCACTCGACAGATCAACCATCTCGTCACAAAGAACCCCGACAACTACTTCAAACGCCCAGCCAAAGACAACCTTGCGGCATCCGGTGGACAAAAAAAGAAGACAGCAGATTTCAGCTGCGTGTTGCCACAGTGACTCCTTTATTAGTTGATAGTTTCGCTGCGGTGTTGATATTATTGCTTTTGTAAGGTCCAACAGCAATATTTCATTTTCAAGCATAAGCTGAAGGACACTGTTCACAGCATTAACTGGAGGAATGGCGGGCATCCTGAAAGGGGAGGGGGGGGTACAGCTAACATCTCATTGTCTCGTAGGGATATTCTTTTTAATGTGTCGCTGCGTGCTCTATTACAAGTTCAATGTGTTTGTGTACGTACTATGAAAGGACATGACCATATATGGGAGTGGCGGGGCGGGAGGCGGGAGCTCGTTGCTGACTCATACTTAGATCTGAATATTTTAGGTGAGACAAACAGTGTTCAACTTTCGTGCCACAACAAGTTTTGCCAGTCACTCGTGGGGAGTTGTCCTCCAAAATTTCGGCTATAGTATGATGACTAATGTATGGTTTTATTTGTATTGTGACTCTAGGATGAGAGGACTTCTCCCCACGGGTGGCTGGGTAGGAGTCTGGTCTCTAGCATAGTCTTATAGTTCTTCATAAACTCGCTGCATGCTTGCAATATGTATATCAAAATGACATGTCCCTGACATAGTCTTATATTTTATCATACACATGTTGTGCAAAGATAATAATGTGTAATTCTAAATCTAGATGTATCATAATGGGTTTTATTTGTCAGCTCTATCTGGTCATATCAATTCCAGGTTGATTTTCTGATGTGGACAGATTTTGCAACACATGGGCCTTTCGTCAGCGTGAACAACACCACATAGGTTTGAGCAGCCTTCTTGAGAGACATGCCCTTTGTGCGACGTTGACAGTTGGGATGAAGGCATGAGTGGCTAGGAGGATAGAGCAGATACTCGGCTGGGCCTGTCATTAGATAAAGAAACAGAGATGATCATACAATCAAATGAATTTACATACACCCCTTCTAGTGCCATGTGTCTCCCATAGCAGTCCCACGTTGATGGTGATCCCTCCACTCCAGATGACATTCTTGAGGAGGGCCCATGCACCACTGACTTCAGCTGGAGAGATCAAACAGCCTGCGCTGAGAAATGCAGTTATTGCAGGTGATAAAATGAATGGTGGGTCAGAAGTTGGACTCAAGGAAGGCTCCACAAGGATAACATCATTTTTGAGCAGGGTTGCAAGAGTGGTAAACTGGAAAAGAGAAGTGAGTGATGTGTTACTGATTATGCCTGGCTCTTATTCAAGATAGCGCAGCAAACAATTAAATGCTGACATGTCTTTCAAAGGATCACTACTAGTACACTGATGTATGCAAAACTCAATGACACCGAGGCGGACACAGACAGACCCAGGCGGACACGGACGGATCCGGCCGGACCCAGATGGATGGTCCCGGAGTCTGCCAAGTCCCTGATATTCTGACTATTTGGCTGTATGTCCTGGCTTTCACAGCTGCATTTTGCTATTTTTGAAACTCAGCTGTTTGTCATTCCAGGATACATTCCACATTTGGTGAAAGATGTATTTATATGTTATGACCGCAATTTTGGCTTCCAAAAGCGGAAATTCACAAAAACACATCCCATTTTGGTCACTCACTTAAAATGTCCTGCCCTTGAGTCGGCCGCATCCCTACCTTCGAAACGACCTCGTACCTCTGTCCAACCACTTCAGTTTGCACACACTTTAATTGCATAGTCTCCTTGGTTGATCCATTAATCAATCGTGTTCTCACTTGTGTTCAGTTGCACTATTATTGGTATCATTCATGCACGATGTTTACGATTGCTACACATTGTTCTACGATGTTTTGTAGCGCGCTTCTCACCACACGGTCGGTCCTACTTCGTCAATCACAATACCAGGACCACATCGTGGAAGAAACCAACGCCTGAACGTCCACCAGGGAGCTTGGTGCCGGAGTGCATAATCAAGAGTCATTCCAAATGCATATGGAGTCTTGCCTGCTTGGGTATCAGTTGCAATATACTGAGCACGTCGGAGGACTGTTCAATTCGTCAATGGACAATAGACGGAGAACCAGTGGGGAGGCCTTGGAATAGTGATGGGGGAGGGGTAGGGGTAAGCTCAATGGCAGTGTCTCCAGATAAATCAATGGTCATTAGTGGAAGTGCAGATGGCAGACTACGGCTGTGGAACTTAAGGAAGGGCAGCATGGTCAGGGACCCATGGGAGGGGCATGGTGGTTTGGTGAGGTGCATTGATTGGTCTCCCAATGCCCAGGAGATAGCAAGTGGATCGTATGACGGTACCATATGGCGCTGGAACCCAGATACTGGCCGACAAATAACACCACCCACAGAGACTGGCCATGGGAGGGTTTTCGCTGTCAGATACTCTCCACAAGGGGACCAAATTCATGAGCGGCAGGAAAGACAAGGCGATCTGTGTGTGGTCAAAGGACGGTGAGCTGCTTATGGAGATCGAGGGCCATGACAGCGATGTGACGTCATTGTGTTGGTCCAAGGGTGGCACACACATTTTCTCCGCATCACTCAATCGCACCATCCGAAAGTGATGGTCAATTGACGGGAAGGAGCTCGTTGTTTTTCATGGTCATGCCAATGCCGTTACCCCTCCCTCTGTCCCTCCCCTGATGAAAGCCATTTTGTTAGCGCGGCGAGGGACTACTCAGTTCGCATCTGGGACCTCAAGACCAATCAGCCAGTCGGAAACCCACTCCTGCATGACGACGAAGTCTATGCTGTTGTCATTTCCCCTGATGGAAAATATACTGTCAGTGGTGCCTCGGATGGAAGGATATGTGTATGGAGCCTGCATGTAGCACTCAAACATACAGGCGACGATGGTGTGAGTGTATTTATTCATTGTCAGTGTCTTTTCTAATCCGGTTTGGTTGTAATTCAGTTGGCTGCTGAAGCAAAACCCGATGCGTAGCTCAAGGTAAGTCATCTGCGCTTCCCTTTTGCATTGTATCTCACTGCTTGACCAGGGACGTCCAGTTCGACCGAGAGATGTTGTGCACCATTCAGGTGTGAACACCTTGATCATTTGCTTATTCGCTCGTTAGATCTTGCACGCTAGTCAGGTCTCCAGGCAGCAGCCAAACAACAGACTCAGAGGCTTGACGAAATATGTAAGTATAATCTCTCATTTATTTGCTCTTGAAAATATAACATTTGTATAGGGCAATGACTTCTGGGACGCTGGTACGAACCCCATGTCTCATACCGAAGCTCCTCCTGCGAGCCCATCGTATTTCCTTCGTTGGCGTAATTTGTTGGGTTCGCTGCATTTCAGCACTCATCCTCCAAATGCGCCACAATCGATACCATTCAGCCCCGGCGTTGGAATTTCAGCCCATTTCCTATAGGAATGTCAAGATGTACCGTCTATGTAGCTCCCTGTCGCGATGAAGATGTGAGCGTTCGACACTGCCAATGTTCGACACTCTTTAACAAAATTACAGAGATATGGTATTACCCCTGAGACTGACGCTGAAGCGGCTGCAGCTATGCAATGTACAAACACCAATCAGGCTGGTGGTTCAACACAACCAAGTCAATCTCAGGTTGTGTTGGGGACACAAGTGTCTCAAGCGCAACCAACAGGAACGCAAGACTCGAGTGCGACAGGAGAGGTTTCCTATGAAGTTAGGTGTTGCAGATTATTTTTTAGTTGTGGTCGTCCCACCTCACATCAGTCATGAGGTCATCTCCTACACTAGTTGCTCGTACCCAGTCATACACCTCATGAGCATTTCATTTTACTTGTCATTGTAGATGAAAGCCATACAGCTTCCCAAGTTTACAATATCATTACCGTTTTCAAATGAGTGGGGAATCTTTGAAGCTCGGGTGCCATTGAGAACACGAAGACAAAAGGTAGTTCTACAGCAGACTTCATTAACATACTAGTCTCCTGTAGACATAGTCAGATGAAAGAACTTAAAGACGGACATTAGTATTCAAACCAATTCGTACAGACATGCATAGAATTAGTCAGGGATCTTACATTTGACCGGTGCACTATTCACGCCATCTTCATATCTTGACGCTCGCTGATGAATTTCGCGTAATGCACAGCAATCTATAGAACTGCCCCGATATGCAGTTAAAGCAGGCGCCTGCAAATACAGCATGCACAGCTGACTATCTAGCAGGTCTATTCGTTACTTCCACTGCTTCTCCTCGCCCTCGCCCAACGACAATTCAATTTCTGTACTACTGAGCTCTGTCAACGCATCTTTAAAGACAACGGTAATTAAAAACCTTCTTCGTCAGCGTCGTGGCCGAGTCGAGCACATCAGCACAACGGAGAGATGGAGAACGAGGAGCGATGTTGAACTCACCGGTGGTTAATGCACCTCGTCGGACAAAGGAGAAGGATCCGCCACGCTATGGTGCACAATATCTCCAGGATGCACTTTGGGAAGGTGAGTAACTGCATTTTGATGCATACTGACTTACTCAACAAGAGGCAGGCAGGAATGAAGCGCTTCCTCCCCAATGGCATCAGTATAAGTTGCTGGATGATACACTACTATATCAAGATGATACACTCGTAATGGCTTCATGGAACTGACCTTTACCAGGAGTGTGACTAGGTGAGCGAACTTGAAGAATGTGCCACTAGCACCGAGGAACTCATGGTGAAATATAGATATTCCCAGACAACTCGTTCCCGGATGCAAATGGCACATCTCACCACTCGGTCGGTCATACTTCGTCAATCACAATATTGGGACTACATCGTGGAAGAAACCAATGCCTGAACGTCTTCCAGGGAGCTTGGCGCCAGAGTGTGTCATCAAGAAACATTCCAATGTCATTTACAGCCTTGCCTGCTTGGGCACCAGTTGCAATATTCTGAGCGCGTCACGCAATGGTTCAATTCGTCAGTGGACAATAGACAGAGAACCAGTTGGGAGGCCTTGGATTAGTAACGGAAGAGTAGTGTGCTCAATGGCAATGTCGCCAGATGAATCAATGGTGGTGAGCAGAAGCGTGGATGGCAGACTACGGCTGTGGAACATCATGAAGGGCAGCGTGGTCGGTGACCCATGGGAAGGGCATAGCAATGTGGTGGTGTGCATTGACTGGTCTCCCAATGCCCAGGAGATAGCAAGTGGATCGGAAGATAGGCACCATATAACGCTGGAACCCAGATACTGGCCGACAAATAACACCACCCATAGAGACTGGCCAAGGGAGGGTTTTGGCTGTCAGATACTCCCCACAAGGGGACAAATTCATGAGTGGCGGGGAGGACAAGGTGATCTGCATGTGGTCAAAGGACGGCTGAGCAGCTTATGGAGATCAGGGGCCATGACAGCGATGTGATATCATTGTGTTGTCCACTGGATGGCGCACACATTTTCTCCGCATCAGCCTGATGGCACCATCCTAAAGTGGCGGTCGATTGATGGGAAGGAGCTCGTTGTTTTTCAGGGTCATACCACTTCCGTCCTGTCCCTTTGTCTTTCCCCTAATGAAAGTCATCTTGTTAGTCGCGGCGGGGGATTACTCAGTTCACATCTGGGACCTCAAGACCAATCAGCCAGTCGGAGACCCACTCTTGCACAACGACGAAGTCTTCGCTGTTGTCATTTCCCCTGATGGAAAATATATCATCAGTGGTGGATTGGATGCAAAGATATATGTATGGAGCCTGGATGCAGCGCTCAAATATACAGGCGATGATCGTGTGAGTGGGTTTATTTATTGTCAGTGTCTTTTCTAAGTGGGGCTTGGTTGTAATTCAGCTGGCGGCTGAAGTAAAACCTGATGCGAAGTTCAAGGTAAGTCGTCTGCACTTCCCTTTCGTGTTGTATCTCACTACTTGACCAGGGACGTCCAGTGCGATCAAGAGATGCCGTGTGTCAATCAGTTATGAACACCTTAATCATTTGCTTATTCATTTGTAAGATCTTGCATGCTAGTCAGGTTTCCAAGCAGCAGCCCATCAACAGACTCGGAGGCTTAACAAAATATGTCAGTATAATCTCTCGTTTCTTGACTCTTGCTAATATAACATTTGTATAGGGCAATGACTTCTGGGACGCTGGTACGAACCCCACATCTCATCCCGCAGCTCCTCCTGCGAGCCCATTGTCTTTCCATTGATGGCGCAATGTGCTCAGTTCACTGCATTTCAGCACTCGACATCCAAATGCGCCACAATCAATACCACTCAATCCCCGACGGTGGAATTTCAACTTATTTCCAGGAGGAAGCTCTATACACACCGATGAAGTAGCTGCAGGTCGCAAGAAAAATGTGAGTCATCACTGCCCCTTTTTGATATCATTGAAATAAATATTTTTGCAGAGAATATACGTTTCCCCTCCCACCGCAGCAGAAGTGGCCTGCGCAGAAGCAGCTGCAGCTATGCAACATACGAATGGCAATGAAGCTGGCAGTTCGACGCAACCAAGTCAACCTCAGGCTGCGCCAGGGACACAAGTATCTGAAGGACGACTGACAGACACGCAAGGCGTAGGTAGTGGGGCGGGAGAGATTTCTTATGAAGTTAGCTGCTGCAGATTTTTCTTTGGTCGTCATCGTCCCACCCCGCATCAGTTGTGAGCTTATCTACTAAACTCTCTGTTGCTTGATAATATTCCCTATTATATGGAGTGATTTGATG